GAAAGCATCAGAATTAGCATGCGTTTGCATGCTAACACCAATGGAATGATGTTATCCAAACCTTCTGGAACCAGCCCAGATTCAAAAAATTTGCAACAAATGGTCCCAGAACCATCAAACGTTACGACGCTGGAAAAATGTTTAACAAACACACCTCTAGGAATGACCCAAAACACACCATCTCGACTTGAATTTCCACTGTCCAAGACCTGGCATAGGTTTCTTGCGGCGCACGAACCTGGACGGAAGGACTCTTTGAGGCGTTGTTCTCTCACCTTCTGAGACTCTGAAAGTGACAACACCCTGACTGCCTTGAGGTCAAGAATGGTCTGCCATTCGGCTTTGTCTGCCTTCTGAAAACCCAACCGTTCCTCCGGTGTGGCTTCCTTCATGCTGAACTCCTGGTTCTTGGCTTTATGTGGTTTAACCATGAGACACGAGTCCTCTGCCTTGAGCTCAAAGAAGCTTAGCCCCACCTCCGTCATGTCCACTAGAGCTCTTGTCTTTGAAGATCTCGCACTGAGTCGACACTGTCTTCCTTTTTCTCAAGATCTGTCGAAGGTTGTTGTGACTCATCCGGTGGATCACGATGGGACGGAGCAGCTGCTGATGATGACGAAGCCTTGAGTGTCTCTTCTCTGTCTTGTAATTTTCTGATCTTGTCCTCTCTTTCTAGTCTTCTCAATGTCTGTAAGGCTATCTTCTCTAGTCTCTGCTGTTCCGTCTGCTGGATGGGTCTTTTGAGCCCACTCTGATGTTGAGTGCCTGCTGGTATGACTTCTATGGCCTTCTTCTTCTTGCCGTCTGTCTCTTCTGAATTCTCCTCTGTCTTTCTCTTTGCTGAGGCTGTGGCTCGGCTGTCGGTGTCGATGGAAGCGACATCTTCATCACCACCTGGAACAATGGTGTCTGGAATGCCTATGACCCGAAGGGATCCTGGTCTATGAATTTCCTCAGGTCTGGTTGATGGTCTCGCATCTGTCGAATTCATGGGAGGTTGATCGCCAGTCAAAGGTTGTCCGATCTCAGCGGAGGGAACCTCTGAGTCCGCTTCTGGTGGTGGGCTGCCTTCTGCAGTCACGTCTACTGCACCAGCCTTGCTGGAGCGTCCTTGCTTGATCAGGTCTTGCAGTTCTCCGGCTCGGGCAAGGTCAGCTCCAATGGATTCAAAGTGTGAAGCCGGTCTCAACTGATCGCTGTTGCACTTCCAAAGTCTAGCTCGCATGGACACCCAAACAGTATGACCTGCTTGCAAAACGACCACCCCCGGACCTGTCCAACGAGCTCTTGTGAGATGCCCTTGTCCTGTGCCGGGAAACTTCCTCCAGACATAGACCCACTGTCCCACAGCCCAGAAGCGCTGTTTGTGCACCCTCTGACTCGTGCTCAAACGAATCTTCTCCTTGCTATTGGCCTGTATGCACAGTTGTCTTGCTCTCTGTCTGATGTGATGCGACCTGTTGTAGGCTGCAGAGGCTGTGTCTTGATCAAATGCGTCATTTTCAATCTCTTGCCAGCCAAGTTCTTGCATCGTGTCATCAGACAAGAGCTCCGTGGGAACTCTTGGATTTGCCCCAAAAACCAGCTGACATGGGCTAAAGCCCCCTCTAGAAAACCACCTGTTCTTGCATGCCACTATCATCAAAATCAGCTCTTCCAGATCGGAGGGATCGGTCAGAATGGTCTGCACGGAAGAAATCTCCAGTTCAGCTCTCTCCTTGACCCATCCTCCATGTCGCTCAACCCTCCCGTTCTGCCACGGGGAGGCGGCGTCAGTGATTATCTGCAGAATCCCGTGCTGTTCCACTGATCGTTCAAATCTTTGCTTGAATTCTGAACCACCATCACTAACGATTGTTTCTGGAATTCCAAAAGGTTGTATCCAAATGCGATTGAAGAGCTTCCATGTTTCCTGTGACGATGGCACTCCCCGATCGTATTCTTTCAACAACCCAACCTGCTGGAAATTGGTGCCGTGACAGACTGCATTCAAAAACGCAAACGTCTTGTTCATAAAGGAAAGAAAGAAGTAGTCTAACCCGATGATTCTGTTGAAGGAAAAAGTACGAGGCACGGCAGCGTGCCTTCTCTCAACCGGTTTCTGTTGTCTCATGCAATGACCACAGCTGAAGGTGTTCTTCACATAACACAGCACGCCCTCTCGAGCGCCTGCTGCTTTAAGCATGGTCAGCATCTTATCCCGAGGAAGGTGACCCATGTTCAGGTGCATAAGCATCACCTTCTTCTTCTGCTCTTCTGACAGGACTTCCGATTGATCTCTCTGAAGGGTTCCTGGAGTTCGAGGTTGAGGATCAAGATCAAGTCCTTCTTCTCCCTCCTCATCTATCAGGTCATCAGGTTGGGCAGCTCCAACAAATTCCTGTGATCCCCGCAGAATCCCCTGAACAATGTTGTGCACTAGATCCGGAGGATATATGCGTGCTTTGTGAGGGAGCCCATTTTCCAGCTGGATGTGTTGATGACTGCCAGAACACTGATATTGGGACAGCAGAAAGGCTATGCCAAGGTGATTCGTGGCCGCTCCCGTGGTCTTTCGTGAGAGACCAGCATCACTTACTTGCAAACCAAGTTCACATTGATCAAACAGGAAATGATGAACTCCTTTTTGTTTCAGAAGCCACTCTGCTGCGTGCGTCTTCCATGAGGAAGCACCGCCCGGCTGCTCCAAGAAAAAATAACGATCGTGATTCAGCTGGTGTTCAGCTACTTGAATGCACATGTGCCACATCACCAAGGCTCTCATCTGATCTCTGGAAAGTCTTTCAACTGGAATGCGGCTCAGATTGACGTTCATGAGCTGACAAAACATCTTGCAGTCGGGGCTCATGATGACAATGTCTGGCTTCTGGTGCTCTAGAATTTCCCACATCCGCTTTCTGTCCTCAGGCTTGAGGGCATCCCAGCCGGTCGTGAGGTCTAAGCTGGAGGGCTTCGTGACCGCCAAGCCTGCCTTCACTGCCTCAGTGGCTACTCTCGGGGGGGTGAAGATCTCCATGACCTTCATCACGTTTGATGCTCCCATCCCATGGCTGCTAGGTTGAACGTCTACGATTCCTAGGGCACTAAGCTCTTGCGAGCTAGGTTCGATCGATCGCTTCGAACGCCGTGGTCGAGAGACGAGATCAAATGATCCGCTTCTTTTCTCCTCTTGAAGGCTCTCTGGCTCTTGATGTCTTTCTTGATGGTCCCTTGGCTCTTGATGTTTTTCTTGATGGCTCTCAGGCTCTTGTTCTTTCTTTTGATGGTCTACTTGTTTCAGTCCTACCATCTCACTCGGGCTCATTGGCCCACCAACGAATTCGGTGGAGAAAACATTTAATGAATTCAACAGTGCCTTCTTCTGCTTTCGACTCAGGTGCGTTTCCGCCCCTTCGGGAAAATCACTACACACGAGATCATCCACCAACTCCGAGTCACGAACGATGAACACGTCTCGAAAACCTCCACGAAACTTCTGCTTACCCACAAAACAGTCGATATTTTCCCGTCGGCTCAGAAACTTACTAGACGTGGCGCTACAAGGAATCACCAGCCAAGTGTGAGAAGGGTCTTCTGTACACTTAAAGTCTCCTACAGCTGATGATGACGTGAAACCAGTGGCTGCTCTCTCTCTCAGCTCTAGCCCATGTGGTCCGGAGGTCCCCCCGGAAGGCTGTCCAATTCGTCCTCCTCTGGAAGAGGATGTCGCTGTGCCATGGCAAATGACTGTGCCATCACGCGGTGGATCTCCTCCGGACTCAACGCCGGAAAGACCGCTCCGGGTTGACGAGTCGGATCTGTTTGCTGCATGATGCGCTGCTGAGTCAAGAAGAGCTGTTGCATTTGCACTTCTTGTCGATCTTGGATCCGCTGGGCCTCCTCTGCCTGAACTCGGAGTGCTTGGTGAAAGCCCTCCACCACCGGTGTCATCACCTGGGCCATGATGGCAGCCGTGTTGTGTGCCAGCTGCTGATTCTGACCCTGAAACGCCGTCTCGAGATCCGGCATGATGGAGGGCACGGGGCCTGAGGTCACCGGGAGAGGAGTTCTCGGAGCTGGCGTGGATGGTGCCGAGACATAGGTCTCGACTGCCACGCTCTTGGCCTTTCTGGCCGCCGGAGGCGGGTTGTTCTTGCCGTACTTTTGGTAGCCAGTCTTGCTCTGGCACAGTGAGCACCTTGTCCACGTTCCATGCTGATTGGCGCCTCGAGTCTCGAACTCTTTGGGATGACTGCAGCTGTCCAACATCTTCCGAGAGGACGGCGTCATCCCGGACGGATCGGAGGGTCCCGGAGACGACGTCGTGAAGTCCCCTGGACGCATCTTCATGCCGAGAATCTCCAAAGCTCCCGGGCCCCGATTCAAGATCAGCAGCTTTCGAGCAAAGTGATGCCAGCTCATCTCCAGGTGTTCTCGGTCCGCTTCCGAGCGAATGCGCGACTTCTTCACCCTGGCATTGAGCACGCCCGCCATGCTGAAGATCACAAGATGAGTATTGGGCTCTACTGGTGCGATCGCGGAGTAAGTCTTCGATCTCTTTTGAGGCGGCGACGGACCGGTCGTCACTGAAAAGCACCACTTGCTCATCGCTACGTGTCAAAACAACTTCATGTCGAGTAAAAAGACTGACTATTAGCGACTCTGACCAATGCTGCTGATCAAATGAAAGTGGACATTCTGTCAGCTCAAACACATCTCTTCTGTAAGTGCAAGCCTGCGGTCTCTCACGTTTGGCGTTTCGTTCAAGCAAGCACGTCTCACAGCCGTTCACAAGCCACGATGTGCGAAAGAAAACGTCGTTTGACTGCGTCTCAAAATCACTGAAAAAAGGAAAGTTGCCTAGTGGAAGACTGCACGAAATCTCAAAAGAATCCAACATCTCCTCACAAACACCAACTTGTCCAAAGAAGCTTGCTCTATCTGAAAGAATCGCACTCGCAGCCATGTATACCTCAGGAGCTGATGGTCGAACGTTGAAAGCCCCTGACGTGAGGCCAAACTTCTCCGTCAGTTGCGGAGGAACCGGGAATTCGCTTCCATCCCAGTCTGCAATGCTCAAAGTGCGGTGGCCAGACGGAATTCTGGTCATCTTTGCCACCTTGTCAAATTTCTTAAAGAAAATCTGGTCTGCCTGCGTATCGATAACGGCGTGACCATGCTCCAAAAGTCCTATCGACAAAAGTTGTGGAATGTTGTCTTCCACAACGGTCAACTTCACTATTCCTGGTTGTCCCCCCAGGATACATGGTGCCAAGGCCATGAAGAGCGTCTTAGCAGTGCCACCCACTCCGGAGGCCTTAGCTGGCTTCTCCTCCAGCTTGATGGTCTTCAGACCAACTTCACGAAGCTTTTCCTGAAGCTTCAAAAAACTGGGATGTCCGATGAGGTCTTGCGAAGCGCCCGGGTCCACAATTGCCTGCCCCGGGCCAAGTTCTAAGAAACAGTCCTGCTCCATGGTCTGGTAGCTGCCAAAGTTCGCGACGAGGAAAACGGAGTCGTTCCCCTGGTCGGACACTCCCAGGTAGGCAAAAGCTGCCATTTTGGGATGCTTGTCCTTATGAGTCTTGTCACCATTGGTTGAAGCCTCGTGACAGTCTTCTCGCCAGTGTCCCTTCTTGCCGCAATTGCTGCAATGGGTCACCTTCTTGAGCTCCTCGATGGACAACCTTCGGCGATACGGAGGTCGAGATGGCCGTGAGTTCTTGTCATCAAAATGTCTTCGGTCTTTCCTACGGGCAGCCTTCAAAAGTTTGTTTTCCTTCCAAGTCCGCCGTCGGTCTTGCTGTAGATCAGCCATGAGGGAAATCGCTGCATCTTCATCAACCTCCTGGTACTCGAGGGCCGCAAAGACCTCCTCATCGTCCAGGTCGGAGTCCATGATCTCTTCCTCCATGGTGTCGCCGAAATAGTTCACCTTGCCTGGCTTCACAATGCTCTCCTCGTCCAGGTCAAGTACCTGAAGTGCCTTTCTCACCTCGGAGTAGGAGTGCTGCCCCTTGGTGAGGACCCTGAGACTTTGCATGCTCTGCTTCGAAAGGCCAGACTGTTCCTCCAAAAGGATGCCCTTGATCTCTTCCGGGATGGCAATGTATCGACTGGCCACTTCAAACTGCGACTCCCGACGCAGCGCGTACTGCGCTAAGCTCTCATCGCCTCGTCTGTTGCCTTCAAACAAGGCTGCTCGAACGGCTCCCCTCTTCTCAGAATCCTCTCTTTCTCCTGCTAGCACATCCAGGACCCCCAGGATCTCAGTGATGTAGGCCGGACTGGCCAAGGTGGTCTCGGAAACATGATCGAGCTTGGCCTGAAGATCCCATTCAAGCGTCTTGAGAACCTTCTCGGCTCTCCTCCATACGCTCACGTCGGTGTTGTGATTCCACCGAAGAATGGCCCTCCTCCACAACCTATAGTTGCTCCATCCGGGCCACGCCGGAGGATCACTATAGTCCCCCTTGGCGTAGTGTCCTGACTGCCACCAACCGCCTTGACGACCGTGATCGACTGCCGGAGGTGCTCCAGACGTCGAGGTCCTTCTTGACCACGGGTCGCCATTGCGAGCGTGCCACGGGTCTGAGTGCTCAACCCCAGACGCCGGCAACGTGGTCGAAGCAGCCGCCCCAGCTGCTCCATCACGCTGACCTGCTTCCCCAGAAGCGTACCATTGAGAGCCAGACATCCAGCTCTGCCCCCAGTACCACTTCTTATTCCACTCAGCCCATTCGGCTTCCGTCCACTCTCGCCTTTCGTCTCCAGCCACCGCCGTCGTCCCCCTTGCCTCCTGCTCCATGTTGTCAACGCACTCCTCCAGTTCCTCGCTAGATGTCCCCGGACTTGGCATCGTTCTGCACCAGAGCTCCGGTTACCACTGTCAGATCCGAGAGGCCTAGTGAGGATCGAAGAAAGCGCCTTTCTCCACCATTTGCGCATGCGAGGTAAGGGGGACACGATCGATGGCTGAAGCCGACAAGCAACAAATCAATCACATGATGGTAACTTCGAACACATCTCTCATCATCTCTCATCCAGCGCATCCAAGAATATTCCAAATACTAACAACATCCAACATCCAAGAACACGTCTATCTTTTTTGACTTTCAAGCTATTCGAGGTCTGCGACCGCTAAAACATCCAGATGCGACATGCAGCATCCAATTCTCGGCCTCTCCATCTTTCAGATCTTCAAGCTTGAAGTTCTTGTAGTGTGCCGTAGCCAGTGAGAGCACCTCATTGGGAAAGGATACCTGTCTATCACTGTCTATGTTCAGTTTTGCTTCCAGTTGGCATAGTCAAAGTCACTACACAAGCAAGTGATGTAAGTTTCAGAAATTCCGACCCCACGAGGACCCAACCCGCCAAGGAGGGGATCCTGTGTTTTCTTGAAAATGAGCCGTTCAAAAAAGGATGACAAAACGATGCAAAACGCAGCGTCGGCCATGTCTTTCCCTGCTGCTGTTCGTTGCTGCCGGTGTTTGCACTGAAACGTCCAGCTCCCCCTCATGTTCAGCTCGCCACTGTCAGGGACGGCTGGAATGGTCCGTTCGGTATGATCCTGGCAGCCTCCCAAACCCAGGACCAATAGAGACAATTGGATTGGATCTGCCGAGGCAAATCAGTGGTCTCCAAAACATTTACCACACGAAGATAGACTGAACCCTGCAAAAGGAAGGATTAATACAAAGGAAACATCTTGTAAGGTCCAACTCCAAGGGTTGTTAAGCACCCAGTTGGCACTAGAATAACTTGGCACCACCAGGCACGGCGACGACTGAACCATTGATGGAGGAGCACATAGAGCTTCGGTAGAATGTCGCCTGGGAATGCTTCTATGGCGGGAGAAGGTGTGGAAGGGGACAGCTAGCTACTGCAACTTATATATATATATATATGTACATATACATGTGCAACATAACCCATGGTGCCAATGGTTTCCTCTGTCTGTTTATGGTAGCCAGGACTTGCCAGGGTTGACATCAAGTTCCTTCAGTTGTTCAGAGGTGAGTGAAAAGGGAACCCACATATCCACATATCCCGATCCTATCCGATAATTACTCCGGAACCCTTGACCGTTGACACAACTCTGGGGATTGGGGTGCAAAAAACACACACAGGTCTTTGAGAGCGTGCTGCCATCGTCCGGTGGGGCAGGTGCAATGGTCTCACTCCAGTGCATGACATATAAACTACACGACCTGTCCACGAAGAGCTTCGATCCTTGTTTAGCGGCCACAGACCGAGTTCACTAAACATTGTACTCCAACTTTGTGAGCCGAGTGTCTGCTACTGAATGTGTCCAATGGTGAGTGGATAGCTGTCAAATGTATGTTGATTCATGTTGATTCATTAAGTCTGCGCAACATGTGTGGCGCTGTGGATCAAATCATCAAACACCTACAAGATCGTAGGTAGGATTGTTTAATGTTGTAAGTATTCATTTCATGATCCGTTATAACAGAGCCATTCAATTCTGGATCGCCATGAATGTCTGGTCCAGGGCCCCCTGGACGGGTGTAAAGATGTTGCTGGGGCCAGGTTTAGATCATGGTATGGGCAGTGTGCTCGAAGTCGGCAAAAGCATTCAATCATGTTCAAATATGTATATATGTTCAACCAGTCATGTCTGAAGTCATATACAGCTGCCACAAGGCCACAAGCTACATTTTTGGAATAGGATTTACACTTATGTGTCACTCACATTTGAAACAATCATGAAAAAAACACACAAGCGCCAATTTGGGCTACTGCAAATTAACCCGGTCCGTGTGGAGGTCGGCATGGTCCTAGAGTTTTCCAGGGTATCCCCAACAAAACAAACTGAGACAAAGCCAGGAATATCCTACCAAGTGAGTCTCTCAAGCTGGAACACCCATGACAGTGGCTTTGGGAGTCCCTTTCATGTTCTAAACAACACCTACCCCCCTCTCTACCACCCTCGAGACTACATGACATATCCTAGATCCAACTTCAGACCTGACATAGGATCCAAAAACATCCAAAAACAACCTGATGATCGGGGACTCCATTCTCAAATTCAGAGAGTCCATCTTAATAAAACCTTCAGATTCCAGTGCTATGATGTTTTTTCCAGCTTCCTCGGCCAAAGCGACGCCGCGACAGACGAATGCAACTCCGCCGGGCGGCAGTCGAGCAGTCCAGGTTCGGCGCCCTGCAGATATGCCCCAGCTGACTCTAAGCGCTTCGAAAGGGCGCGCAAGGACGTTTCCAGCTTGACTCCTCGGACGTGGAAGAGTCAACGAATGGAGCTAGACTTTTTGGAAACACCACCAGGCAATAAAGGCCTCAAGATCCTCCAGAATGATTTGATGTATCTTTGGTTCCCGGATGGGGTTCACAATCTTGACAAAAAAGTGTGTTTCCCACGAGGAGGGTTCAATACCTGTGGGTGTGTGCAATGCTTGCAGGTGTGGATTTTCCAGTTCCTTGAAGCAGGTTGGCACCTAGCGGATTCGGATGGTGGGCTGCAGGGACTTTTGGCTACTGCGTTGGTGTTTTGGTGTCCCTCCCACTAGCAGATCTAGCAGAAAACAAATAAAATCCGGTGGGTGAGATGTGTTTTCGGTTCCTGTGCCTCTCGGTGTCCGTAGAAACCCATGCGTGAACAAAAACGAAAAATGTGTTCACGCAATTGCTTTCTTGATGAGTCGAGCTGCCAACCAATCCTGTACTACAGTCGTAATTCAATAGCTTTGGACCACAAATGGCTATCTGCTTCTACATAGCGATGAAGCCTGTAAATATTTTGACTGGGAGCAAGCAAGGAGACAAAAGCCAACAAACCGGCAAACAAAGTAACTAAACGCACTAAGCTACAGTGATATTGACTATAGAACTATGTCATGTGTATATATATAATATTAAATAAATATACAATTATATATATATAGTATATATAGTGATTCTATGTTACGTGTATGTGATCCTTATCTACAATAGATAGAAGTAATATGAAGTGATATTTCCTAGTGCAAATGTCATCAGGGATGCTCTCTTAAGATCTGGCAGCGTATCATCTACTAGAACTACATCTTTCCTTTGCCAGTCTTGAAGCAGCTCATATCTTCTCAGATCCGTGAGACAGCGAGCCCACGCGGCCTGGGTTTCCTCGCGTAGCTCCTCGTCCTTGGCGCTGTCTGTGTTCTTGGTGAACCTCATCGAGCTTGGCCAGGGTTCCAAGGACATAGGATGGAAAGTTCCGTCTGGACAACCTCTAGTCTATGGCCATGCCACAAAGAGAGATACTACTACTACAGAGGAATCGTTCCACCCGGGTGCTTGGAATCAGTGGACCCCGTAGTAACATCCGGTATAGACCCAGTTCATACACATCAAGTTAAGGAGTTTGGGCTGATTCCTTGTTTCTTTGAGTGAATTTCGACCGATGTCCTCTTCTGGTCCTTGGATTCTTGTTTGGAAACTTGAACATCACTCTTCGCAGTATGGGGAACCTGTCGCTTGCCCAAAAGCGACTTTGTTGTTCAATGTTGTTTTAACAAGAAAGCCTGTGCTCCAACATCGGACAGCTGACATGCTTGGACAACTGAAGAACACAGTTTTGTTGCTTTCAACAGAAAAGGCACATCTAGTTTTGTGGCTGTCCCAGTCCTTTTTCACCCCATCCAAGCAGCTGAGCTATGGCAGGGAAGACTCCAAAGCCCTTCACCTGCACAGCAGGAAAAAAAAATACTGGAAAGGCAGAAGTTGCTTGGTCTTCCTTAGCTGGCTGTACCTTCTCCACCTTCACTGAGAAGAACACTTGTGAGGAAGCAAAAACATGAAGCAAACTATGCTTCTCTTTTGTCTTCTCACGTCTTCTCCAATGGTATTCCGGTGTGCCACATGAACAACCCCTTCTGTAGCTCTTGACTCGCATCCCGGCCTGCTCCGCCAGTTCCACCGGCGGCTGCAACGACGAGGCCGTGGGGAACTCCCGGTCAATCCAAGCCTCCGATCAGTGGATCGCGGCTGGGCTCACCTATCACCTATCATGGCCTATCATGCTGTATGCCGGGAGCCTTTTTGCCAAACACCAAACACCGTGAAAGAAAAGTCCTGCATCCTTCGTCTGAACATAAAACTGACACGGTTGAGTTTTGTTTGCTGAAGCTAAGAAACCACTGCACGTCACTGCACCCCAAAGGGTTGGTGGTGTGGTTTACTACACAAGGCATGTTCTTTTAAGAACAGGCCTGGTGAGCCGGAGTTTGACGCATCGTGCAGATGGAGCGCATGATTTCAATGAAGAGATTTATGCAACACTCCAAACCCGCCATAGGTCCTGAAGGAAAGGTGAGGGCCAAGGTATAAATAAGTTGGGTTAACTTCCACAATGTTCAACCATGAGGTCTAACGACCTCTCATTCCATCCATTTACCTTATTGAAAAGACTTACAAAGAACGTCAACATCTGTGAACATCTTCGGAATGAGGGAAGCTACGCAGGACAACCCTATGCAAATCTGGTCAGAAAATGACCACTGAAAAACGGATCACGATGACCTGTCGCTGTGTCTCAGGCTCTGTCGCTGCGTCGCCCTTCTGAGGTTTAGCATCATCGTCCTTGAGAACCATCAGCTGCAACAGTCTCGCTTCTCTTCGATGGCTGTCATCCACCCTGTGAAGTTAGCATAGCCTGCATAGCCGGCATTGCCTGGGGCCGGTACAGAATTGTTCTCATTGGTATTGGATGGTATTGGTCTAAACGACTTGGAGACAATGGCACCATCTCGGGTCCTCATCGTGTAGAGATACAGTACGTGGTAGACGTCCACTTCTCCATCTCTCCATTGCCATTGGTGAGCCATAACATAGCCTTCCAGTTTG